CAGGAAAACACCGGAGGTGCCAGAACCGCTCATGCCCAGTGCCTGGAAGGAGGGGGCAGTGGGGCAGCAGAGGAGCCCCGTCTGCCACGGAGGGACCCCCGGCTCGGGGCAGTGCGTTGTGTCGACGCCCGTTCTTGTCCTTTTTAAACCATCCCCGACAAACCCAAACCCGCGGGGTCCGAACGCCTGCTGCGGTCTGGCAGAGGGGACGAGGCCACTGCGGGGGCAGACTGTGGACCCCACCCTACCCAGCCCCAATGTGCTCCCTGCGTGTCCCCCCACTCCTGACACCAGTGTCATGGGTGGCAAATTACTGGTTTCTGTTTGAGCTCCCAGTTGCTGCCCTCAACCTCCCAACACCAGGGCAGCATTCGAGACACTTGGCAGGAGCAGAAACCCCCAAAACAAGGGGCAGAGGAGATCAAAACGAGCAACCAGCCATTCACCCTCCACCTGCTCTTCACCGGGGAGCTGGAACGTCCCTGTGCAAAGCCGAAGGCGTGAGCAGAGCCTGGTGTGGCCGCTGCCTGCCCAAGGGACACGGCACAGCCTTTGCAGGGGCCAGGGCAGGAGGGACAGCGGTGCCATGGGCACAGCTTGCCCTGGACACGGTGCCCATATAAAGCCACTCTGGGCCACCTCGCTGCTGGCCCAACGTGCACGTTGCTGCTCTAATGACAGGGTTGGTGACTGGCAAACCCTGCACAGCCCCTGGCACCTCACCGGGCACAAGCGCAGCCACAGAACGGCTCCGGTGATCCGCAACCAGCTCGGTTCCACGAGGGCTGCCGGCGAGGCGGGTCGTGCAGGCTGATGACAGCCCCTGGCCTCTGTCCCTCCTCAGGGCTCGGTGTCATTCCGCAGCCCAGGCAGCAAACTTGTTCGAAAAGCCATAATTGTTTTAAACAAAATGCATTTATTAAGGGGGGAAAAAATAAGAATAACCTCTTTGTTTGAGCGCGGCTATAATCTATAATGCAAGTATTGTTCCCCTGCCCTGTGGCACAGGAAGATTATCTTATCAGAGTCCTGCTGTCAGTAGAGCCCTGGGCTTCCAGGCGATCGTATTTCTCTGCAAAGCTATTTCGTTGCCGAGACAGGTGCATCAGTCTTCGAGGCACATGCCTGGACAACAGAGCCATTATCAAGACCCCAAATTCCTTTCCAGGAGTGAGCAGAATGGTAAAAGCAGGTGATTAATGAAGCGCCTGTTTGCTGTGAAATTTTACTCATTTATCTGGCCTATAAACGAAGAGGCATTAGGGGTTTGGTGGAGACCTGGAGGAAGCTACAGATGGCAAAGATGCTGTTCCACCCCAATGACAGACACTGCCCTGTGCTACAGGCAGCATCCCCGCGCTGCCGGTCTGCGGGCAGAAGTGGGGGTTTCTAGAGAAACACCCACCGTTTCCACGCAAAGAGAAGAAAAACAGCTCAAACCTTCGCAGCTGGGTCAGCTGCCAGGGCCCAGCTATTTCTCCCACTGATATTTCAGATACAAAAAGACCCCCCAGCTCTGCCCCGGGGCCGGGGTCTGTGCCGCAGGGTACGTACCGGTGCCCACAGCCGGGTGGGCTGAGGCTGGTCCGGGTGGTTTCCAGCAGAGGTTGGCTTTGGGCACCGCACACTTGGAGACTGAAGATCTCAGCTTTATAGTCAATTCTTATCGACTCACATTACGTTATTTATCCCTGGATGTTCCTACCGATATAAATAGAGATCCCTGCGCTGAGCTCCCTGCCGGCCACCGGGGTCAGGAAGGGGAATTCACAGGGACGCAGCATCCGTTGGGATTGCGTCTCGTGCCGTGGCTTTGCGAGCTGCTGCTGGGTCCTGGGGATTTGCAACATCCCAAGAGCCGGAAAGGGCCCTTCAAGCATGAAATGCACCTTCTGCGCTTTGTCTGGATTTTTTTTTCCCCCCTGTTCTTGTTGCTTTAAGGGGCAGGAGAGCTCAGCGTGGAAAGGTTTCGCTCGCTCCAGAGGAAAACATCTGCCGGGTTCATGAGAGCCTTGTGACCTGCTCAGAGTGCAAAGCGTTCTGCTGAGCCAGTTACAAACAGCTCCTGCTTGGCAGGGCAACGCTGAATCCTGCTCAGCATCACCCGCAACGCTGGGTAAGCAAAGGCAAACCCTCTGATTTCTTCCTCAGACACAGCAGCCCTCTCAAAAAGTGCAGTACCCTGATGGACGCCCCCTCCACCCTCCCAAATCAGCCTCTGACCTGGCACCAAGGCTACTTGGGCAGAGAAGCGAGGAGTCCTGGCTCCAGGCACCAGGATGCTCGAGCCCAACGAGCTCTGCAGCTCCAGCCAGTGCAAGTGATTCATTTTCCAAATGATTAATTTTTTTTAAAGCAACACAACCCTGGAGAACACGTGCCAAGGCAGGGGCACGCGAGAGCCAAGCAGAACAAACAACAGGGTCTGGTTCAAGGCAGCTACTGACTCCAGCGACTAAAAAAAGGAGCCCAGACAAAGAGCAGCAACCTTAACAGCATTAAAAAAAATCCTCCTCTCCTGTGTTTCGGCTTGTTAGCACAGGGGAGAGACAGGCCAGAACTGGGATTTCAAAAGAGCTTAGAGGAGTTAGACATTTGAATCCCATTCAACAGCAACAGGAATCCTGCACTTAATTTCTGCGGCCGCCTTTGAAGATCTCGGCGATAATTTGCACCTTCCGAGCGCGTTTCATCTCAAAGCCACTTACAAAAGGCTGGCGAGCGAGTGGGGAGGGAGCTCAGGAAAGTCCCATTTTCAGGTTCATCAGGGGAAAAAAACTGGGCATTTACCAAACCCTGAAACATCTGCTCTGCCTCTGCGAGGGGGACATGGGGGAGCAGCTCTGGGTCCCCTCCCCATCACCACGGCACCTCGGCAGAGAAAATCTGCTCCTCGGTGACACTGGGATCCTGGGGGATCCCATGGGGCTGAACCCCGGGACAGGGACCCAGAGCACAGCAAGAGATGGGCTCCTGGAGTGGATCCTGTCCCTCCCATCAGCTAGAGGCACGGGGTGGGCGCGGGTGGACCGAGACCCCGGTCGGGCTGAGAGCAGCCTGGGGAGAGCAGCACGGAGTGGGAAACACATTTCACACCCGAGATACTGTCATATGTCTTTGGCCACATCCATGTCAATTTAGATGGATAATGGAACCTCTAGATAGAAACATTTGATGGCTTAACCCAAACACTTGGGCTGGTGGTTCAGTGTTGGGGACCTCGAGCCCAACCAGCGGTGGGAGAAGTCCCACCATGACCAGGATGGCCCAACACCTGCAGCCACGCAGCACCGGCTGTGCTCCTCATACCTTTATACACCTTCTCTCTCTTCCTTTCCTTTTCCTTATTTATTTTTCAGCTAATGAACTGCTCTCCAGAGCTACTTTATTAATATTGATTCCAGGAGCAAAACCCAATTGATCTTGGTTAAAATGAACCATCTTTTTTATTCTGGTATCTAAGGGCGATGGTTGGGCAGGAACCGCCCCGAGCTAAGGGTAGGGTGGGCGCGTTGCACTCGTGTCCAGCAGCCAAAGACCCTGGTAATTAAGGCAGGAATTATCAGGTGGGGTTTGAGGACTGGTGCCATGTAGAAGAGGGATTGCTGCAGGGAGGAGGGGTCTGGTGGCTGATGCCCACCCGCCCCTGGGGACTCACCGTGTTGAAGTTGGGGAAGAGGTTGAGCGGTGACGTCCCGTTGAGCCTGAAGGTCAGAAAGTGCTTGATGTCCAAGGGGGGATGAAGGGGACGGCCAGGGATGGGCAACGACGCTAAGAGGGGGCTGCTGTGTCCGGAGGGACCTGGGCAGGCAGAGGGGAAAGAGCAGCGTTAGCGTTGGTGGCCCCTGCTCACAATG